ATATATATATATATATATATATATATATATATATATATATATATATATATATATATATATATATACATATACATATATTATATCGGTGGCAACGCGATAGCATAACGCTCGCTTTAATCGATTCGACTGGTTAGACAGACCGTGGGCTGTTTACCCGCGGAAGAAACGACGGATTCTTGGCACGATCCGCGTTCCACCTGTCCGTCGAGGTGCCCGTCCGGGTACCATTGTTGTACCCGTGCTCGTTAACCGAGACCTCGCGATCCCGGACCCTACTCCGATCTGTCAAAGTATGCAAAATACCGTTTCGCCGACGGCTTCCGTCCAAATTCCACAGAGATTGTGGAAACATTCCCGGATACGCCGATCAACAAAACCGTACATAACCGCGGCCCGTTTCCATTGTTCCGCGTTTACGGCCAGCTTCGATTATTTTTAGTTGAAACGAACATTTACAAACAATTTCGAACGCGTTGGATTCGAGGGAGCGAGGCGCGTGTGCGCGCACGGTTTTCGCGATCGAAATGAATTGGACCGACAACAATGCCGTCCGTGGAATCTATTTCATTCGCCTGGTGTCTGGCCACGGAATCGTACAGCCCGGTCCGATCTCGGGGGAATTATGCGTAGCCCCAAGGAGGGCAACTGAATTATCCGGGGAGAAATCTCGGCGCGTACGCGCGCGACACGGGGTTGCGGTATGCAAAGCTGGGAACCCCGCGTTCAACCCCGAGAACACGTTGCGCCACACACGACGACGTCGTTTATGCTCGCTCGGCTAAATCTTAGACGCGTATGATTTATGATCGAATCGCGCGGTACCAACATGGCGGACGCGAACCGGAGGAAGCGTGACAAAATGAATTTATAACCGCGACGAATTATCTCGGGAGATAATTAATACACGCTGTTGTTGTTCGATTGGAAATTGTCGCCGTGAACGATTGCTTGCCGTCGGGAAACGGATAGGAATTCGAACTTGTTCGTCGTTCGGCGAAACAAACGGCGGGGCGGTTCGCCGTTAAACAAAATGGCGGATACGAATCTTGAAAAACTTGGAAAGATTATTGAAATCGCCTCTTCGCAAGGGTTTCTTCCACGTCCCCCTTTCACGGAATTCGTTCGATAAACGAATTAGTTTCTCTCGATTGCAAAAGTAACGCTGTGCGTTCGTTTCCGCGGATATTTTTGGGGTGGCAAAACGGAGGGTGTACCGTCCGATGATCCTAGATTAACGCTAAATCTAGCGCGGTCGAAGTGACCGCTTTCTTATTCTTTTTTAATACTGCAATAATATAATTAATATAATATAATAATATAATATATAATATTATATTATAATAATAATAATATAATATAATAATATAATTCTGAATAAGTTATATTATTGGAGCAAGTTTTATAATAAATACTTTACAAATTCTGAATAAATTCGGTCTTCTTACTTTTATGAGGCAGTACATGCCGGTTAGTATTACTGCTGCTGGTAGGTTTAGTGTTAACCCTTTGCACTCGTAGCTATTTTAACTGTAAATATAAAATTATTTTTCTAACTTACAGTGTTTTCAGTTTATATGGAAAAATGCATTTTATGCGTATGAAATTGACTCTTGGGAGTCGCGCAACAATTGCTCTCTTAACAATGTTTTAAATCTAAACTTTGTTCATATAGAAATGATCTTGAAACGGGATGTAACAAATTTTAGTGGTGCCTCAGAGTGCACCATTCGAGTGCAAAGGGTTAAATGGTAGCTTGTTTATAGAATAAATTGGTAATACCGGGTTTGCGGGTTTTCGTCCCTTGACGTTTTTTTAACGGAAGGTTTAATATTCGCGTGACGCCTTGCGGCAGAGATACCGGACGCGAAACGACTCCGAAAACCGTCGGATCAGCGATACATCGGCTTACTATCGTGGTTGTAACAGGACGCAGCGTCGGCTTACAAAATGAAAACGTCATCGCTACGTCGATTTTCGATCCGCGATTCGCACGCGACCGCCAGCTTTTCGCCGCCGGGATCCCGGCATTATCGTCGACGCGATACCGTGTGTATGTACCACACGAAATCGTCGCGTGCAACGCGATCCCACGATTTTTTAATTGTCCGCGCTTCGAATTTCTGTTCGCGATCTCGTCGCCGGTGAAACAAAACGCAATAAGATATTACACACCCGACGCCCTAGTACGTATGTATGTATGTATGTATGTATTCCGTTCGTTTTATTTTCACTTTCGACTAATTATGTACACACCTGCGTTTCAAACGATTCTTAACTCAACGTCGAGGCCGTAAACACCTTTGTTAATGAGATCTCACCGCGTATATCTTCTTGGCGTTCTTTCTTTATCGTTGTACGTGTGCGCGAGTATCGTATATATGTGTACACATAAATAAATGAAATAAAATGAAATAAAATGAAATAAAATGAAATGAAATAAAATTGAATGAAATCAAGTGAAATTGAGTGAGATAAAATAAAATTTAATGAAATAAAATGAAATTGACTGAAATCAAATGAAGTTAAATAAAATTGAACGAAATAAAATAAGATTGAATGAAATAAAATGAAATTAAATAAAATCGAATGGAATTAAATAAAACTGAATTAAATGAAATAAAATTGAACGAAATCAAATGAAATTGAACGAAATCAAATGAAATCAAATGAAATTGAATGAAATCAAATGAAATAAAAATGTCGAACGACGATTTCCGTGAAACCGGAGATAATTCTTGGTTCTACCAATGAAATCGCGCAACCAAATCGATGTCTCCGCGTTGCTTACGGATGTCCCGGGTAATTTGTTTAACCCGTTGACCACTAGATCGAAGATAAACACAAACAATGCGCAATCCGTCCAGATATTATGTAATACGGTTAGGTTATTTCTCGGTGTTGGTCGCCGCTCGGTAAGAAAAGAAGAAAAGAAAAAGAAAAAAAAAGAAAGAAAAGGAAAACGATAATGCAACGATCACGAATCAACCGTCCCGAATGGTTTATCTTCCGGAAATCACTTACGGCGTTGGACATAATCGAGATTGGAGTTTGCACGCCGAATTAGCATAGGGTGCCGTTAGCCTGCAAGATCGAGTTCCAAAAACATTGAACGATCGCGGGGACGTGCTCTCCCGAGATATTGTCTCGGGAGATATTCTCGCGAAAAAAACAGGTGTCGGGGTGCCGTCGCGGCCGCGAATGTAAACACGTATCGGTCGCGACGAAAGCAAACAGGATCGAATTTGGAACCCGGCAAGGATTCCTAAGATATTTCGATCGACATCATCGTCCATCAACGCGTCATTATCGTCCTGCACGCAGATCCAGAAACGTTCCTCGTCGCCTCCGCTCGATTTCGCGCGGACTGTACATTGTTCGCGAACTTTCTTCGTTTTTCTTTCTCACGGCGCCGGTTTTAATCGAACCATAAATTGGCACAATGTTTCCTGCCACTTGCCTCGGTCCTTGGAATCATTCTCAGCGCCGCCGCGAGAGCCGTTCATTAACGAATCTGAATTAAATAAGGTACGCCAGCCGGCCGGCCCGGTCGGCCGGGCGCGATTCGGATCGCGCCGCTGCCTTTTGTACCCTCGCATTAGCTCTCTACAGACGAACGATCCAATTTTTATTCGAGCAGCCTCAGATGTATTCGAA